TTTCATCTCTAGAAACTTACACAGAGAATGGCTTTCGGCCTAAACTTTAATATTTTAAAGGAGAATGGCGAAGTATTTTTCAATCTGGATAAGACAAAATTCGGCCTGACTGGAGAATCAAGAATATTTATGGTAATGATTGGGTTGGTGTCTATTTATCCTCAAGTCTTTTAAACAGCAGGCATACAAATGAAAAATTTCGTCGTTCAAAATATCGTAAGCTGTCATTCTGCAGTTAACTGTGGTTCTGGTGAGTAAGGCTTATAGAATTTAAAAAAAAAAAAAAAGTGACGCTATAGTGAATGCTGAACTGGTGAGTATTGCACCCAATGGTCACGTTTGAAGTTTACTTGAAGGCTGCTAGTGAAACATACTCATACTATTTTTACATTTTTATATGAGGGCTAGTGAACTAGTTTCTAAAGATTTTATATTATTGTAACTGAAAAGCCCATATTGGGAGTTTCTAATAAAGTGTGCGTGTGTGTGTGTTACATTTATTTTATATTTACCACAACTGTGAAAGCAGATAGACTGAGAGGGGAAAATCCGTTGAGCTGAAATTCAAGCTTAAATGCCAACTGCAAAACCCTTGCTAAAAAATGCTTCCCGTCTTGCCATTCTACTTTTACCTCATCGTTTTCTTCCAGCCTTCCTTTACCATTATTAATAAGTGAGGATTTCACTATGCAGACCTCGCTGGTTTCCAAAAAGAAAAACAACGCATACCGGTATTTCTTCGTTATTCGTCTTTTCATCCTACTAATACCATGATTTTTTTCTCAGTATCGTAAATAATAGTTTTCTGTGCTGTGATTCTTGAATACCCAGCTTACTATAGTTCATTCTAGTTTATTGTATTTTCTTCTTTTGTTTGATTAAAATACTATCAAAATTTTAGTTTTTTGTTTTTTAAAAAAGCAAAAAAGTTACGTTAAGAACTGTATTTTCAGAAAAAAAAACAAAAAACAAAACAAAAACGAAGAGTTACCTGTGGTTTGTTTTCAAGCTCTTTGAATAGATTGCTGTAATAAAGAAGATTATCGATTACTGCATAGAAAGTGAATATGATCATTTTAAGTTTTGCTTTGAATAAAAAGTTTATTCTTTCGACTTACTTGTTTAGATGAAAACAGAATTTTGCACCTAACATCGATTACAAGCTTACTCGTCCAATAAAATCGGGTCTTCAATCAATTTTCCATTTCTAGAGTTTTTAAAATTATGCTTGAAAATATTTTGAAAGAGCTATTTTTTGTTTTGCTTTTTACATGGTAAGTCAGCTTTTTTGTATTTTCTTAAAGTGCTTATAAGCCTTTACACAATATTTTTAGAATTGATTCTTTAAATAGTGAATAGTTGATTGTGAAAATAATTCGTCATTTGAATGTCGGGTCTTTGANGCAGAGAGATTGCTCGTGAGGAAAGAAGATATGTCTTCGTCCCTGCCTGACGATCTTTCGTAACGCTCGACATTAGGACTACGTCCTTTAAAATTGCTTTTTTTCTTGGCTTTTGACATTTCGCTTTAGTACTACACGTGAACAACGCTGAGTTTGGTATGTCAATAACAGATTATGAAGTAAGATTATGACGTAAACCAAACAGAGTAGTTCATTGGCTAGATTTGGTAGGATTCCTACGTACCCCATGCGGTGTATCCTACATATACTACGGATAGGGTAACCCTTCATTTCTGAATCTCTATTACTTGACCTTTAAAACAATATATAGTTTAATGGGGTTTTGTTTAAAGTGTTGCGAAGAGATAGTCTTAAACGAAGGCCCCCTGAAGGTCTTAAGTAACCTTAAGGTAGAGCACTTATTGGCATTGTTCAAATTGTTTTCAAAATTGCTGATTCCAAATGGCCCTCCTTTAATAGAGATCAATAACTTGAAGTGTACAATGAACAAAACTTTCTATTTCATTGAGAACTCAAAGATCTTACAAGTAATTAGGTCGTTGATTTTTATCAAAATAGAAACACACTTTTAATTCACATATTTACGTAAATATCTTTTACGTAGTACAAGTGAAATCATGAGAATAACATTCTAGTTTAACACAAGAGTTTCTTGCAGCTTATAACAGGTCAATTTTAGGTCACTTGTCACTATCTCATTTGTGTTGACTTAAAGGTAATATAATACTGGCAGCATTCACATCTGTTTCATTGTTTTGGCTTGTGTTTTGTTCAGTTGTATGCGTACTCAGGGACAGTTGAGTAGCCATTCTTATCTGTTCGATCTCCCCTTGGCTTGAGCGTGGCTTTAAGATATTTACGGGATCGTTCGAAGTATCGCCACTGTTAGTATAACTGGCTGAGGATTTCTCTTTGCTGAAATCGAAAGATTTAAGTTTCTGTTGCATTCTAATTCAAAGATGCAATCATAGGCTATTTTAGAACTAGAACATTTATAACGGGCATTGTTTTTTGCGCATCTCGTTGAGCTTCATTATATAGTTTCATTCATGCAAACAATATATACGCAAAAGTGTTAGCAATATTAAATTTTACTATTTTATGTCAATTCAATTGCATATTTTCTATTGTTCCACTAGCGCTATTTTCAACAATTTAGTAATAAGTTTTTCACGTATATATTGTTCGTGTTTCGAGAATTTTAATCATCTAATCATTTAACATCATCTTCTGTTACTTTTGATATATTACTTTATGTAAATTAGATATAATGATCGCGATAAAAAATTTACTACATAAAGAAAAATGCGACAAATCTAGAAACGGTATATCTTACCCTGTAGCCGGTGTAACTTGACTGAATGAATTCACATAAAGGCGTTTACTTTTATACTGCTACATATTTATTTAAAAAGCGTGCACTAAGGTCGAGAAAATTGAATCCTATTATTCTATTGTATTCCTTTGTTCCAAAGTATTTTCGTAAACGAAAAAATTTGCATTCTAATAAAACATTAAAAAACACCGAGCATAACCCGCAAAAGTTGAAAGTAACGTCAACATCTATATAGGATCGCTATATTTCTTTCAAAAAGGTATGAAATTCTTCAACTTAATCGTCCCCTTGTCATATAGACAGGATCGACTCGTCTCCCATCATCTTCCAGGTTTTTTTGCTGGGGAGTGTTCACTGAACGAGGGGGCTGGGGTCCACGCAAGGCATTTAGGAAGTCGTCAATCATGGTAATATCACGGTTCGGGAGTGTGTAGAAGTCTTTGTCAGCATCAATGTGTAGGTCTACAGAGCATATAATAAACGAAAGTGTAGCAGAAAGTGTTTCTTCTGTGTGTTCGTATTTGTCTTCTTTTTGTTTGTGTAGAGAATTTCAACTTTGGTTGGCCGATCATCGAGAGTCACAGGCTGAATGTCCTTGACATATCCACACGTTCCTTTTTATATCATGCGTTGAACCCAACCTAAAACTAAAAGGTTTTGTTCTGCTGGGACTTGTATAGCACAATCGTGAAACAGGCAAAGGACATCGGTGGAGCTTTCCGTTTTACTTTTCAGTTGTCTTGATGCTGCAGTTGCATCCCTTATTCGTCGCAAACGATCTACGGATGAAATCGGGATTTTTCGAGGTTCAGTAATGACAGTTGACTTGTATCGTACACCAAGCCTAAGTACTGTCATAGTAGCTTAATTCTTATCGTTCTCGTTGGAACTCTAAGTGTCAGTCACGTTGTCGTCTAACAATGGATTAACAATGAGTTGTATGTCACAAGCCATATCGATTTCTGTTTCAGGATCACTGTTGTAATTTGGTATTGCTTCGTCATCATTTGGGTCGGCATTTGTCGTAACTCCTTCAGTTCCTCTTCAGTCGCCATCCCTTTCAATGAGTCTTTGAAGTCAACATACGTCATGGGACTGTCAAATCATTTCGTTTCATCTTCGTCAGCGATACCACCACTATAACCCGCGCTATCATCGCATTCACCATCATCACGTCGACCGTCATCATTATCTCCGTCTCCATCAGGAGCATACCTAGTCTGCCAGCTAGGTTCTTAGCCATTGTAATTCCTTCTTTCCATGCCTCCCCTTTTCTCTGGTCCTGAGCAAACTGTTTGCCCCAAATAAAGTCGTTGTGTTTTATTTTGGGAAACTTTATGTTTGCATTGGTACCTCTAATCTCTTGGATACGGTTTATGTGCCCAAGACTCTGATCTATGTTCAGTTACCCCCTTAATTAATTTGTCATCAACATTTTCTTGGAACAATCTAGTCGCAGCCATTGCTCGTAAAGAAAGATTTGTGAAAAAACCATCTACCCCAGTTTCCTTCATCATTGACTGAACTACATTCTTAAGTGTATTATGACCCAAAGGAACACTACAGTACCATAATTCTCCTTTCTTGTAATTTTGCAAAGGCTTTAAATAAAAAGCCTTTTCTAATACATCTTTAGGACAACGCCTTATATAGGTCTTAACRATTTGCACCACACATCGCTCTGGACATTGGACATTAGCATATGCCCTACTAACTTTGGRCGTTAACTTGCGATGTTTCAAACCACCTTGTATAGTTTTAGACACACCCTCCGAATAAAGCAAAYATTCCCTCCCCTCGGAATCAGTATTGATTGAAAAATTACTTATGGTCAATTTCCTATGTTCATCCCCAGCCCTCATGCCAAAATTTAGACCTATTAAATAAAGGGCTGTTCTCAACAGAACTTTGGGACAACTATCGCCCAGAAATTTGTTTTCCCAAAGATAATTTTCTATTTCTTCAGAAATAACTTGTGYGTGCTTGGGATGCTAGCCTAGCTTGTTATTGGTTGAAGTTTTCATTTCGATATCTAGTGATTTTCTTAGCTTTTCAAATGCCCCTCCAGAAAAAAACTTAACTACTCTCCCCTTCATTTCAAAATACTTCTGCAAAGTACTCACTATCTCGTGCAATGTTTTGGCAGGATATCGTTCGCCTCCTTCCTTTCTAACTTCAGCGATGAATTGGCTAACAACGTCACTCAGGTTTTCGTCTTGCGTAATATCCAACAATTCTGTCGTCTTCTCCACTATTTCAGAAACCATAGACTTCTCATCTTTAGAAAAGTCACYGCTCTTTCGCCACATTGCCCAATTTTGGTATAAACGGAAAGCCCACATGGCTTTACTCTTTGCATTAGTTGGAATCGACTCCTCTGCTAGTTCTACTAAATTCCTCTCTTGCATTTTCTTGAAACGACTTTGCTGAGGCTCTTCGACTTGCTCCTCTTCAATAGCTARAAATAAAGAAGTAATTCATTTAGTTGAAAACATATTTACAAGCAGTTAAAAGTCAAGACAATCATCATCAACAGAATCATCATACTTTTAAACAAACTCACTTTTTACAGTTAAAGACGAGTTCTCGTTTTCAAAACTGTCCACCAATTGCGATAAGATTGYATCGTCGTCCTTGTCGACCGCTAACATTTCGCAACAGCACTCTTCATACTTCTCCATCTCAGCAAAGTGAACCGTGAAGTGAACTCAATGAAATGCACATGTGAAAAGCCAAAGTTCGATTTTATAGTCAATTAATAGGAACGTGAATATGCAAAATCTCAAAGCGTCTTATTGGTGTTTTGCGACATAGTGGAATTCCAACTTATAATTTGAAGCTTTGTATACAAGTTCAATAGAACTCCTATRCAAAGCGCATGGATTATTATGCTCACTTGAAACCAATAAGATTTCCGATTTATTGTGTGCTTTGTATGTAGAAGTTCTAATGAAACAACGGGTTTAAAAAACACACTCTAAACATAAACCATTAATTAGCCTGCTTATTGTAAAACACAAACAAAACAGTTTTGACAATTCGGTTTCTTTTCTTCGAAAACAATGAGAGTATATATTGAATAGGATAATGGTCTCGCTCTTCGGATTATTGAAATAATTCTCCGAGCTCGACCATTATCCAATACATAAATCGAAAAATATTTTTAGTCTATATCCTACATGGTAAAATTGCAAATTACATTGCACTCTCTTCCGGTATACAACTAGCCTTTAAATTTTTACATGCTTGAAACGGTATCATTTTTTCCCGATCGTTTGAACAAATGAATTGATCAAAATTATTCAATATACTCTTAAAATACATAGATTTCAGTTCCTACTTTTATTTTTTTACTTGAAAGACTAGATAAACTAAAACTTCAAATTTGGAGTTTACTTTAAACTGTCTAGAGCGTGTTTCCCATGGCAACGCGTCCATTCATTTAACGCCTTTTTCCGTCAAAAATACGAAAGCGTGTTTTATCTTCCTACAATTTTCTAGCAATAAACGTATTGACTGGTAATAACGGCGTCCGTTGACTGATCTTAGGATTTAAGTTAGACTCACGGATGAAGTATAATCAATTATTTCCCTTGTGTTTTCTCATTTAACTTGACAAAAGCTTCCTTGCCTGAAGTGTCTTGAAGGACCAATGACTTTGGCGTCAGCCCAAAAGTGTCGGCAACGCACAGAGCATTTTTAGCGCGGACTATAGGAAACCAAAAAATAACAGAAGGAATACTTATTGAATGTAACTTCAGGACCTAACTTTAATTATTGAATGATAATTATTCCTAAGTGACTTACCGTATCTGGTCAATTAGGTTGCATTGTTGTTTCTGGCCAACCTCTGCATAATTTCTTCCCAAGTTACCCAGACTTTCTTCTTTTTTGAGGCTTTTAATTAAAAGGATGGCATCATAAAGTTCTTTAGCCTTTTCCTCCACTTCCATTTGAGACCTTTTGCGTTCTTCTTCAGCCTCTTTCAGCTTCTCCCTCTCCCTCTCCTTGTTGCCCTTACCCRGGCCTTCTTTGACATCGTCAAGCTCAAGGTGCAAAATGTGCCACCTTGACTTCAGGTCTTTTCTTGAGCTAACTTTCTTGGTTTTTTACGGCCTTGCCAACGCGACCTCCTGAAGCAGGGTTCAGCTGGTACAGGAACATTTCCATGCTTAAACAGAGAGCTTGAAAGAGCCGTCGAATGCTACTTATTGGTGCGGTATTGCGGTAAAAAATACACTCGTCTTACTCTTCGTTTCGTTTATTTGATTGCGTTAGAGAGAGTTCCTAAATAATAAAGGACAGATTACAATWTAACGATAAGGCAGAAAACGATTAAAGCAAACGGAAAGCGAAAGAAATAGGAAAAAATACTTACAAAACGATGTGTAACTTAAGACGGTCGACGTTGAACTGAAAAATTACTAACTGAGCTTGAGTGAACTTAACTTAGTCTAAATTATGCACATATTTTAAAGTCTGGAAACAAAGGCAGAAAATGCACACGGGAAAACGCGTAAAATWCCAATCTAGCACTAACACTACTCTTATGAACTCTCCATTCCCACAAGGCTTCACCATTCAATTCCACTTCAAATTGAGGATTTGAAGATTTAGAAGATGGAGGACGAATAGTTATAAATAAAGGATGAAGAGGCTTGATCGGGGGTACTATGAGCTCTGAAAAGAGCTCACGATCGGAGTGAGATATTTCACAATCCATGTTAATGTTGCTGTACACGCAGTTGAAGTCAAATAAGAAAAAAACATTTCCGAACAGAACAATAGGGATATCACACATATGCGTGTGAAAATAGACYGCTTAATGAAAACAACAGAGTAAACAGAGACGGTGCTCGCGGGAATCTCGCACCTTAATGATTTTGCTGGTTGAAAAAGTTCGCTTGCGAAGGATAAGAGGTTTTTTTTTTCGAACTATCGTAAACCAAAAGGTGCAAAATTTTCAGAACACTGTTAACTTTCCTTTGCACCATGAGCATTTTTAAAAAGTACCAACACTGCAAAGAAATAATACTGTGAATATTATCATCCATACTAAAAAAGTCAAAACTTCTAAATTTAGAGACAAATATGATAGTATGAAAATCGAAGTAAGCTGTTCATCTAAAGGGTGCAAAGCATTGTTTTACCTGTGATCTTTCATATGAACCATGAGCATTTCGCAAATTACTTAAATTGCAGGGAAAATTAAAGTTTTATTTGGGCAAGTTTGGTGGTTTTTGATCAGTTTCTTTGTAGTTGCCTAATTACCTGTGGCACACCTGAGCAAGCAGTAGTTTGAACTTCGCGCCAAAAGACCATCATTCTGTGCGATGCGTGGTTAGTTCAGAAACATTAGCATCACTCGTCCATTATCAGGGCAGCTAAGTGCTTGTTATTACTTTTACATGTCTTTCAACCATGACTATTCACTATGGAGATATTGTAATGTAAAAAGAAGCAGTATAGATCTAGAGGTCTGATTTCTGATGAAGCCTATGTCTTCTTTCCTTGCATTGGATGAACTGTACATTCGATAATGTAAATTGATACTGGCTCTCTTGCGATGGATGGAACAATAAAGACCCCAGATCGATGTATTCATTGTTCCAAATTCTGAGCTTAACTTTGTTTTGCACCCGCGCATCAACTGGTAGAGCTGATGATGTAAATATGTTAGCTGGCCTAGCTTGGTTACCTGCTAGAAGGTGGTGGGCTAGGTTGACTGATTCRACTACTGCTGTCCCTGCCGGTCGTTCCATCAATGGTGGCTGTTGCAGAGCATTTGTAGATTCTGTTGGTACCACTGTACTAGGAGGAGTTTGCACTAAAGGGGCCAACCGCTCAGTTACYGCATCAGTCAYGCGGGCTACAATCCGATTGACGACTTCTTCTGGGATAGGGAGGTCCCTTGTTGAACTATTATCCGGGTTGTCAAGGATATGTCTTTCTGTGGAGATTTCTGGTGTTATCTCCTGCGCAGYGGCCAACCTCTTGGATCGCTTATTGTTGTTGGAAGTTGTCGGTCGACCGCGTTAAGGAGGCATCTATGAAACAAAAAAACCACAAAAGCGCATATTTCTGGACATAAGCAACAAAATAAAAACTTGGCACGATGCCAAGAAAATAAAGTAACTTGGTACAAACACCAAGCAGAATGAATGAACCATGATACGAACATCAGGCTCAAATAAAATAAAATCTCGGCATGAACACAGAGAAAAATTAAAGGAAACATGGTACGAACACCAAGCAAAATAAATGAACCATGATACGAACATCWTGTTCACAAAAATAAAATCTCGGCACGCACACCGAGAAACATTAAAGTAAACTTGGTACGAACACCAAGAAAAATAAATGAACCATGATACGAACATCATGTTCACCAAAAAAAAAAATCTCGGCACGAACACTGAGAAAAATTAAAAGTAAACTTGTTACGAACACCAAGCAAAATAAATGAACCATGATRCCAACATCATGTTCACAAAATTAAAATCTCGGCACGAACGCCGGGAAAAATTAAAGTAAACTTGGTAGGAACACCAACAAAATACAAACACAAAGGTCAACGGAAGGGCAGGGAAAGCCATAGTATGACAAGCATGCAAAAAATGTAATGCTCGAGTTACCAATGTTAAAAAACGATAGCACGTGGAGAGGTTTAAACAGTGCTTAAAACAAAAGTCCCTACAATTAGGGGGAAGACTAAGGGGATATTTAGATATTAGCTTAAGTAGTGAGACTAAAAGAAGGATAAAGCTCGTAAAATAGCACCCCGATAACTGCGATATAACCGGTACTGTCTTACGGGGGTGAGATGGACGCCGTCGGGCAAAAGTGGTTTGTTAACCCTGTAAAAACCTCTATGTACCCAGCAAAAAACAAATGGAAATGGTCGTAAAATTGCCTGGACAGACTCATTAAATAAAACTACCTTAGTATTGAAAGCGTTGGATGAAAGGCGCGGAATGACGAGGCATACACAAATAACTTTGACAAAGAAGCGATCGTATAATAATCTCACGAGAACTTCTATGGAAGAAGCCACTGAAGAAAGCTCTTCGCTAGTGAGGTCGTTCGTACCGATTTCTAAAATAATAATATCGGGAGATCGCCTAGAGACAACATGGAGATGGTGTTTTCAAAGTTTCGGGACTGTTAATCCACCGACGCCAAACATGTTGACGTCGTCGGACAGGGGGGGGTGGGGTTGAGTTAATTAGCCTAATCCCCATACCCCTCCACGGTCGAATTACTTCCGGTCAATTAACTATTGACACCGGATACTGCTAACAATTTTGTAAATACACAAGGATTAACAGAAAGTCCAGGAGGGACATAAAAATTCTATTTGTAAACAAATATTTCATTTATATCTGCTCWATACAATACCAAAATACCACAATACATGCTATATATAATTATGAAGTATAGCCTTTATTTACGATATTTACAATATAACCATAATGCAAATATTATTTACATTTATCAAAAGGTCTGTTTAGAAGACTTCCTACTATTCTTATAACAAACACGATAGTTTTTAGTTTAACTGACATTTATATATTTATATATACAGACGATATTTTAAAATCAAGTTATATACTATTTCATTACAAAAAGTGTATATATTATGTATGATTGTATGATTATTGTTGCTTTATTATTCGTATGC